CGGGTTGATGTCCGGGCCATGGTTTAAAAACTATGGGTACTGGCCTCCAAAAAACTCTTTTTTTTTGGAAAAAACAAAAACTGATACACAAATATAGACTTATTTGAGTAAAATGGTATTAATGAAAACTTATTGGGTACTAACAATGTACCACGTGCATTGCACGTGAATTTTTTTGTTGAAACATTTGATAAAACACATAAAAAAAATCTAATAATGTAGCAAAATTAGATATTATCTCATATTTATCATAATTAAATTGTTTGTATTCTCTTTATAACTGTTAAACATCCAGTGAACATATTTTTTGTGATTCTTTTATTCGAGCTACCAATTAGTAAGGGTGATAGATGTTTCTTTTCTCGATTTTTTTTTTCTTTTTGTCTTTCTTGTTTTATTTTGTGCCTCAATAGTTTTTTAATAAATTAGTTTGTTTGTGAATGAAGAAAAAAACTATATATATCCGTATTTTGGTGTTGGAGATGATATTTTATCAATAGAGTTATCGATGTGTATTAATATTGAGGTTTTGAAAAAAAAAAGAATAATATTTTTTTATATATCATGTTAAGAATAACATGACCATTCAAAAGTTTTACAAAGAGAGAGAGATTTACATGATTTGTTAGAGATTAGTTTGTTATTTAAATACATTGGGATATAAAAGTAATTTGTATATTTCAATATAAAATGACATATTAGCCTTTATATTGTTTTATAAGGGCAAAATAGTGAATCTAAAATTTTTCGTGTTAAGTTATTTTTATTAGTAGTATAAATAAGTGCATTTTGATAGAAAAAGAGCAAAAACTCATTTTGCAAGAGTAACTCTTGCAATAACCGATTTTTAGAAACAATTGTATCACAATCCCTCTCTATTTTCTCTCTCTCACACTTTGTCTACCTCTATTTTCTCTCACCGTTACTGTTTTTTTTTTTTATTTTCTCTTTCTCTCCCATTGATAATTTATTTTCTTTTCAAATATGTAAAGATTTGGTTTTATCTATTGATAAGTATGTTCTATCGTGACGGGTAAGAGTTGTTGTAAAAATAGAATCTCTATATCTTAGGAAATGTAAGATTGCATACTACATTTATCACTTCTCAAATCTCATAATGTTTGCACTTGATTGTCATCAAAGGCAGTTAATTGCATTCAATTAGAGGCAAGACATAGAGCAATGACAAGTACTCATACACCTCAAAAATAAGTGGTGGATTTGAGTCCTCCGTTTTTTTCTAAAATAACGGTAAGATTATCCACCACTTAACTCTCTCAAATCTCGTTGTAAACGGGAACTTTTGTACTTTGGATAAGACCGACCAACTTTGAAATCCAAGATCAACATTTGACATGATTTAAGCCCATAGACTATAAACTTGTACTTGTTAGTCAGATGAATTTTACTACTACATTAAGTAATGACCTGCATAGGTATTCATTCACTAATTTAAAGGGTCTTACTAAATTAGGACCTGTATTCCAATATGTTTGAAGAGATGAACTAGATACAAACATAACTTTACACTAAAAATATAACGTAACGATCCTCTAATTTGAATCCTCGACTTCACAGTTACTCATCCAACATGGTATCATTGCATCAACTTGGGATACACATTTTCTTCAATAATGGGTTTGATCAATATTTATTGTAACCAAACATAAGAATACAAAGATGGAAACAAAACAGAGTGGACAGCTTATAGACCTCTCTGTTTTTGTTTGAATAAAGCTAGGACCATGAGACCCCAGTGCAATGAATTGTTTAAGTTTCAGTTGGGGAATTAATTAATATGGCTTGGTAGATATTTTTGCATGGACACCAAACATGTATATAAGGAAATTTTTTGGAATGATCATTAGAACACCATCCACCTGTCCACACAGATCAAATCAACTAAATTATTGTTAGGTCAGATTTGAAACATTCTCATTGTGGCATGAGTCTATTTGATTGCAACTGTAGAGCTATTTATGTCAAGGGAATGACATTGTTTACCTTTCCTATAATGAGAAATAGTTGATTCAGACAAGGATTGAATGACAGATGGTCTGTGACTATGCACAATCAACAAGGGGTGATTGAAATCCCACGGGATCATAATAGACATCAACTGGCCCAATCCAGTTTTCTTTTAGGTGGATTGGGTGACACTACGTTATCACCATCATGTCATGTCATTATTAAATAGAAACATAACAAGTGAGCAACTGAACACACAAGTCAATAACTATCTTTTCATGTAATTTAATAACTACTATGAGTTTATTTTACATATTGAGTGTGTTTTTAGTGCACCCGTACTCTATACCCATGTAAATTAGTTAGGTATTCTTTGCTTTTCTTTTTTCATTAAATGTTCACACATTCACCGTATGATCAAACTTAAAAAGTTGGGAGAATTACACCTAGACTCTTTGAGAATTGTCACTTAATTATTTAGACTCCCTGACATTTGAAATATTACACACAAATCTCCTAAAGTTTGTACGCGCATAAAACTTAAATCCCTGTTATAAATATACCACGTAATAAATTATACTTAGACCCCCTAAAATTTATAAGTATATAATACTTAGACCCTTTAAATTTAAAATATTATACTTAGAGCAAAAATACTTCAATGAAAGATAAAATATCAAATATTTTAAATTTTACAACCAAAATTCATGTCCTATTGTATCATTTATTGAAATAAAATCAAAAATAAAAAATTAATTTTTTTAAAAAAAAAACATAATTGGTATTCAATTATATTGTCTATTTGTATAATTGTATACTAATTATGATTTTTTAAGAAAAAATTAAAATTTTATTTCAATAAATGATACAATAGAACATGAATATTGGTTATAAAATTTAAAATATTTGATATCCTATATTTGATATAAGTACAATATGTTAAACTTAAGGGGTCTAAGTATTATATACCTACAAATTTTAGGAGGGTCTAAGTAAAATTTATTAACTGATATATTTACAGTAAGGGTCTAAGTGTTACGTGTGTACAAATTTTAGGAGGTCTATATGTAATATTTTAAATATCAAGAGATTTAAATGATTAAGTGACAAACTGTATGGGGTTTGAATATAGTTCTCCCTAAAAAGTTAATTAAATGACAAAAGGACCATAAGGGCTAGTATACCAAGTGGGTACGTCACTGTTGCTGTTTATTACTAAGGCTATCAGTCTCAATGTCTTTCTGCATTTGCATGGAATGGTACCTATCAATTATCATGGAAAGTAGAGAGGGTCCCTACTAAAAATCCTTATGCACTAAAGTCTCATTAAGGACATTTTGTAACCCCTCTGACTGAATCTTATGTGCCACTTGGGCTGATTTTATACATCAAAGGGTATTATTTGGGACCATTGCTATGCTGCATCTATTCAGATAATTGATATGACTAACACATACTTCAGCCAGCTCATATTGTCCCAAAGCCCCGCTCTAAGTAAAGCTGTTAATCAAATCGAGTTATTCGAGCTCAGCTCAGGTTCGATTCGTTTTTGACTCGTTAAAGTTCGGCTCATTTTCTGAATGAGTCGAACTTAAACAATTTTTCAGACCCGTTTTAAAAACAAACTCGACAAATTCGACTCGAATTCGACAGGCTCAACTCGTTTATATGCAAATACTCAATTTCAGCTTGAGTTTGGCTTGTTTTGGACTTATTCAATCTCGACTCGTTTAGATTGAACATTTTTTTAGGTTCGATTAAGGAAAAAAAAAAATAGGTTCAACTCAAACACATTTGAGCTAGTTCAACTATAAGTCCTACTCCCAAGTGGCTTAAACTAATGGGTGGCTTTGAAATTCTACTCAGAGTGGTATAAGTAAAACTCGGTAATTTTAGACACAATCAGCGAACTAGACAGCAGATTGGCGGGTTTGGATTTAGTCTCACTTAATTCGGATAGTAAACGTTAAACAAACGGGTTACTTTAAAACTAGCTAACACAAGTTATGAACTCAACATTGGATAAACCTGATTTTATATGATTATAAATAGGCCTGATATAAGTTAATAAATTTATACACAACAGAACTTAAATAAGACACAAACCCCACACGACACGATAATTGTTGAAAAGGGTTTGTTTAGGGTTGTCCACCGGTGAAACTCTGCGTGGACAGCCCGACGTGTGTTTGTAAATGAAGAGAATGAGCAGAAAACTCCAAGCTGGAAAGAGCCGGGTTCATTGGATCCTGACCAATGAGCAAACCAAAAAGAAACACTTTGACATAGGCCAAAGATGATTAGACGTAGAGGTTTCTTTAACTTTACCTTTGAACTATCCATGCCAAATTGGGTTGCTTTGATGATGAAAACATCACAAAATAGAAAAGAAGCACACAACTCTCGGACAAACAAAAATCAATAAACCCAAGTAGTTTAAGTGGTAGCAGAAATGAGTTGTAAATTTAGACGTTATTCGAATATTGACAATTTTTTGGAAACAGATCATGAGGGATTTATTTATTTTGAATACCCTACTCCGGGTGTGGATGGGTTACATTTAACTGGACCATGAAGGGGATTATTCGAAGTGTGTGTAAACTGATTCGAATACCCTAACTATTTGAATGAAAAAAAAAAACAGAAAGCAATAGAAAATTGAAAAGAAGCTTCGTGAAGTTAATTCAATACATCTCAAAATGTCCCCATCTCTCCCTTTCATTCCCCCAACCTCTTTAGCTTCCTCTTTCTGTCCAGCTGACATTCTAGAGTGGGAATACAAAAGATGCTTTCAATTGAATAATGAGAATATGATGACAGATATGGGTGTTCAAAAACACCTGCCTAGTATTGTAATGCATCAATAGAAAAAAAAACAACTCAGTGCATGGGTTTTCATCAACTACAGAATCCAAAGAAGATTAAATGTATTCAGTCTTATCCTCTCAAGTGTAGAGGTTGTTTGTACGACTCGAACCCCTGAGCAAACTTACCGCTGCAGGCAGCCTGCCCTCAAAATGCATCAATAATCTTCACATAGCAGCACAGTGAAAATGTTGAAGAAGCCTATTGGCTTCTCTAAGACCACTAAAATAAGCACCATGAGTAGTAGAATAATGGGTTCTATGTGTTGCTTCCCCTGCAAACAGAATTTGAAGTGGAGTTGAAGCATTAGACTCCTGATTGATGTTTTGGGGCAATGGCTTAGCCATGGTGTCCAAATCATCTCCACTTGATCCAACAGCCACATAACTATATGATCCCAAGAAGAGTGGATCAGTGCCCCATTGGGTCTTCAAAACCTTATCAAACTTTAGTTCTCTCTCATTCCAGCTTTCCACAAAATTCACTCTCCCATTTCCATTGCATAATTCATGAGAAATAGAATTGATTTGGTATCGCGAATTGGATAAAAAGCTAGAGAATGTGGCAGAAACCGCTTTAATAATCTCCTCATCTTCAAATGATTCAAGCTCAAGAGCCTCTCTACCTGCAAACCAAGACAAAAGAACTTTTGATTTGGTATAAATGGGACATAAAGAATCTGTCTTCCTCATCCACCAGGGAATTTTCGGGTGCCTTAGTTTGGAGTCTGATTGATGGAAAACCATTTGCAAAAATGGAAACTTGTTGAAATTATCTCCTTCTTGATCACCAAGTGAACTCAATTTTAAAAACAGCTTGTTAACAACACCATACCCGAGCCTCAAAATTGCCCCCGTCTTCCAAGTAGGCAGTGGAGGATTGAACATACCCGAGTCTTCACGAATCCCCTTCTTGAGAACCCCGAGTGAAACTGTAACAATGATGTGATCAGCTAACATGGTCGACCCATCACAAAAATGTAGCTTAACAGGCCTATTACCACGGCCACTATCTGTTTCTAATAGTTGTTGGCCATGAGGCTGCCATTCAATTTTTGTAACTTTTCGGCCTAATTGGATCAAACCAGCAGGCAATACGGAAGCTAAAGACTCAATTATGCTCATATATCCTTTAGCAATGGTGATTTCTTCACCTGGAAACATTTGATATTCGCTTTCTGCGCCGTAATCGAGAGTTAGCAGATCACCAGCTGATGTATAAGTCCTTTGAGTGTTTTCATGCATTGCAAAAATGGCCTCTTCTATTGATTTTCGACTCCAACCACCATATCCTTTAACTTCCTGATCTTGTTCTTTCATTGTTCTCCAGTAAGCATCAAGGCCCTGCCGGAGAAAATACCCGAGACTTGGCTTTTCAAGGCTGCCATTGCCAGTAAAAGTATCAGAAGCCTTAGCAGCAAGCTTAGAGAACTCAATTTCTTCATTGAATACACCATCTTCTTCAATCTCTTTCCCTTGAGCAAAATCCAATAGTTTCTTGAAAAAACTGGAAACAGGCTCAACAAGAGATGGATTTAGCTCATGCCCACCTTCAGCAATAGTCACAGGATCATCTAAACACCCATCCATACCTTCCCAAGGCTGCTCAGACTCAAGTGAATTGATTTCTTGAGCTATTTTGTGAAGAGGGCTGCCTCCAATTCCATGGATCCAGGTAGCACCCATCTCGATCCTGTCACCGGAGAATTCTGAAGTGTTAATCCTCCCTCCTATTCTAGTCCCCCCTTCAACAACAAATAGCTCAAACAATTCTTTTGAGCCTACACTTGTGTATAGCTTGTTAGCAGCTGTAAGACCAGCCATTCCTGCTCCAATTATCACTACTTTTGGCTTCTTGGCAACCATTGTTTCTTGCTCTGGTTTGCTTCACTAATACTCAGGCAAAAATAGAGGCAGAATAGAGGATGAAGTGAACAAATGTAAGGTAAGAATGAGTTCCTGACGAGCAATATATGAGGGGTGTTTGGTGTTTTGGCTTCAGGGGACTCATATTTTAAATTATTTGGTGAAGTAGAGTAAAACCATGAGTCTGATTTTCTTGTAATAATGTAGCCAATACCACAATGACCACTTTTTTCAAACTTCTCCTAGTCTTCCTTAACCCCCAATGCCGTATATATTCATATTGATAGGCTCTCATTCTCATACCATCAACCTGTCCCAATAGCATTCTTCTTGACCAAGGGAGGTAGGACATGTTAGATGCAAGGTGATCCAACACATTGGGTGGAAGACTACATTACAGACAGAGAATTATAAAAAACGACGTTGACCGAGAAAAATTTCAGATGTAGTGTCAGAAAATTGCTCAACACCAAATTTTGAAAAGCTTTGGGCCATTTGTAGAAAATAGACCATCAACCAAATTGTTTTTATGTCCAAAAAGGGTTTAAACAGTTTTTAAGTACTTTTTCTGATTTGTTTTGGGTCGTAGGTGGTATTTTTGCGAGTTTTCATATGCTTGGTTTTTAACAATAATTTCGGACTTAGTATTTCAGGTTATAAAACCATTTATATTCTTTTCGGTAATTTTAACAATGTTTTAAAAAAATAAAAACGGTTTTTTCGTATCAAATATTTTGGTATTCTAAGCATCAAACATTAATACTATCGAGAATAATTACCAGTTTTATAATTATGGTATTATTCCCATTTTACATATTTCCTCTCCCTGCATGAAAAAGGCCAATAATAAGTTGATGATGCCTCTCACCAACCTCACATGAATCCAGTAAACGACTGCCCACCAACTTCAAACTTTACATGGTCCTAATGAATCAGTCAGCAATTGATTAAAAAACACAATGGATGGACTCACTTGTGCCTGTGTGGTATTTTTATTGCCATGGGCACAAAGTGTTATCTATCTTGACTTGGATAATCCAGATACGTATTTTTATTTTTTGACTAACGTTATTCAACAAATAATCATGTTATTACAGTGACTTAAAAGGGGGGGGGGGGGGGGTATGGAAGAACATTCAAAAAAATTTATCATTGTACTACGACAATATTAATACCGACATTTGTCCGAGAGTAGTATCCTTTTAATGTCAATGTTAATATGACAGTCTTTTTACAAGAGTTATGTTTGAATTTGTAGATTTTTCTGATCCACGGAATTCACCAAAAATGGACATTTTTTGAGAGTTTGGCATGACCCATGTGTTTCGGATCCACGGAATTCACCAAAAATGGACATTTTTTGAGAGTTTGGCATGACCCATGTGTTTCGGAACTGTGGGGCACATTTTCAAGCAATATCAGATGTTATACCTGTTGGAATTTTTTTATATTAATTTGTAAAAAGCAGGTTGAATTTATGGTCAAATGAGGTGAATCCAATATTATTAAGTGATCTATTTTGATGAGTTTATTTACATCTTTTAAGGAGTTTTTGGAAGTCGATACACCTAATTAGACCATAAATTCGGCAAAAAACACATATTAAAATATGTTTTTGGAAAAAGGTACACTAGTTAGATACAAAAACATAAATGCTTATTTTAGAAAAAATGGTGCATTAAATATCTCATAGTTTTATGAGAGAACTTTAATATATATAAAATTACATATACAAATATGTATATACGTGTAAAACGTAACATTGAAAATGGAAAGTGTAACATTGAAAGTGTAAAGTATTACCTTATGTCTCACTTTACTTAATGGAAAGTGAAAAATGTTACATGTTAACATTGAAAGTGTAACATTTTCATATTTTCTCAATTAATTAGTATTTTTAGTGTAAGATGAGACATGTATATTCTGTTTGTGTAACACTTTAGGTAATGTCTCCCCTTACCTTGTGTAAATAGCTTGTTACATTGTTATTGCTATACTGTTATTGTTACTTTCAATATTACTCTATAACACTTTACACTTTTTATTAAGAAATGTGAGATATAAGATAATACTTTACATTTTACATTTTCAATGTTACACTTTACGCTTTCAAAAATGTTATACTTTACACGTATATATATATATATATTAATGTGCATTAAATACTAAAGTACTCCCATAAAAGTAGGAGATATTTAATGCACCATTTTCCAAAGAATATACACATAGATCAATGGAGGACAAAAATGTCACAAAAAAATTAGACAAATTCAAATTGTGTACTTAAATACAAATAAGTATCAAAATTAAAGACTTAATAATCCTATATTTTTTAGTGTGTAATTTTTTCTAAATAAGTCTAATTTGGTGTATCCCCTTACAATTTACCCCTTTTAATTGATATGGTTGAGGCGGTTAAGTGTGGGTCTTAATTTAATCGTGACCCGTAAAGGGAGAGCCCATTAGATTTTATTATAAATAGCAGGTTAGGTCATCTCTCCACTTCATAACTCTAATTTGACTTGTCCCATTAAAAACCGCCTATTACTTTGAAGAATAAGAGGAAGACTTTACCTTTCGATGACAGAAATTCGGAGATCGAATATCATAACTCATACATGTATGTTATAAACTTATATGATATAAATGTAGTATTTTAAGTGTTTTAAATTTCATATACAAATAATTAAAATTCTCATATGAGATATCAGAGTTTGTCTTATATGAATTTAAGACCCGATAAAATTTGTATTACAATTTTATGACTAGAGTCTTGAATTCAATTTTTTTTTGTCACCGTCTATGACAGTGATTAAAACAAGACAGCATTGATCAAAAGCTACAACATAAGGCTTAAAAAAAACACATCGACGGCGGCATCGAATTCTCACATAAAGTCGCTGTAAATGGTTGAATTCCTTTATGGCTTGAATTCTTTTATGTTTTGGTGGAAAATTTTCAAGCCGCAAACTGATTGCCATCAGTCTTGGGCAATTATGGTTTGACGGCTATAGTTGATATTGGTTTTTAATATTTGACGTTAGACCTTTTGATATTAATTTTTAATTAATATATAATTTGATTAAAAGATTTGATTTAGATTATATCTAAATATCAAATAAATTTTATATTCACAACTCCTATAACATTTTTTTTATGTTATAATAGTGGAATTACTATTTTATTGCTTGTGTCTTTTCTATTAAATAATCATTAATTATTCATGGGTCTTGTTGACAAATCGACACATGTTTTATTAATACAAATTATTGATATCAATCAATTATTATTTTTTTATATTTATTCAACTTTGATTGAATTGGTATAATTTGTAGAGTGTGTTTGTACAATTCTAATTTTAATCCCTAATGATTTATACGATGAATTTTTTTTATGATCTACATATTATTTATTAAATGTTGGTAGATGTGAATTTAAATTACTTAATTTTAATAGTAAAAATAGAATTGAGAGATAAATATAACGATTAATGATGAGTGATCTAAAGAGATGCATATTAATTGATACCTCATATTGATTGATCACATAATATCTCATTATAGGCAATTTGTTATAATATTCCGGTTTAAAAAAATTTATGAGTTAAGATGGATGGTCGCCACCAAAGTGGTCCATTCATTGAAATTTGTAGATTTTTTTTCATGATTTTGTTACAGGATGGTTTCTAAATTATAATATACAATTACTTATTAAAATGGGGTTATTATGTATTCTAATTTAGAGATGTCATGAAACATTGTGATAGAGGTACAATAGTTTAGAAGATTTATCTACCCAAATGGGATAAATTTTGTTGAAACTTGAGCATTCTCATTGTTTAGTTTTGATAATGCACAAATTGGTATTGCGCAATATCAACAGTCGAGTATATGTAAAGGATTCAATTAATGAGTAATAAATAGATAATCAATGACAAAACAGTAAATATGAAGTCAACACGGAAATTTATAGTAGTTCGGTTTCGATGACCTACTCCACTCTCAGGAACGGCGACAGCGGCTAGAGATCTTTATTGATAAATAATGTAACCGAGAAAGTACACTCTTGGAGAATTATAATGGTTAGGAGAGAGAAACTTGGTGTGAAGAGGGATGTCAACGTGTTTTAAGGTCTCAAGGTCCTACCCTCTATGTAGAGAGGGCTTACATTATATAGGTATGGTGAAGCGATGACGTGAGAGAGAGGGTTTCTACTATTTTGGTAAGTACAATTAAGATGGGATTAGATCTCCGTACATATCCCAATATTCTCTCCTTCGTGCTCCTATTCCGTTGGGAGAAGGATATTGAGTTAGGTTGGACTTGAGTCGGAGTGGCAAAGTGGAGGAGGGCGAAGGAGAGACTAGAGGGCCAACTTATAGGCGACGCCCCCATAAACTGATGATGCACAAATTGGTGTTGCTCAAGATCAACAATCAAGTATATGTAAGGGATGCAATTAATGAGCAATAAATAGGCAATCAAAGGCAAAACAGTAAATATGGAGTCAACACGTAGATTTATAATGATTCGGTCCGGGTGACCTACTCCACTCTCGAGAATGGCAGCTGGCCGGAGATCTTTATTGATAAATAATATAACCAGGAGAGTACACTCCGGAAGAATTACAAGGGTTAGAAGAGAGAAACTTGGTGTGTAAAGGGATGTCAAGGTGTTTTAAGGTCTCAAGGTCTTGCACTCTATGTTAAGAGGGCTTACATTATATAGGTATGGTGAGGCGGTGACGTGAAGGAGGGAACTTCTACTATTTTGATAAGTACAATTAAGGTAGGATTACATCTCCATGTATATTCCGATATTCTCTCTGTCATGCTCCTATTCCGTCAGGAAGAGGATCTTGAGTCGGAGTGGCAAGGTAACGAGGGCGAAAGAAAGACCGGAGGGCCAACCTAAAGGGGCGCCGGCAGGGGCTTGGGCGGCCCCCTTGGGTGTCTTCTTAAGGCTCTGGCGACTTGGGCTCCTTTTAGACTCTGGTAACTT